CTTTACCCCCTTTCAAACTCATTTGGTACTCGTATTCAGTAAGAACACAAGAAGAACACTTACTGATTAAACCATCTAGCCTGTCGTCCTGATTCTTACGGCAGTCAACCTCTAGGGAATCCAGACCTAATCCAGCCTCTTTAATTATCATGATATGTATAGGAAGGGGTACCAGTGACTATGATGTGATGTTTGTTTGGATTAGCCTTCTGTCTTATCAATTGATGGGACATATGACTGTAACCATCTGGCAAGAGGACATATATCATTTGGCTGATTTCCTCCCAAAAAGTGATATTGAAATCCTTGCAAGTCTGTCATATACAAAATATCTAAATACAATACTACAACAATAAAATAATAACATCAAATAGATAATTAAGATCAGATAAACCCATAAATATATTGGCTACTCATAAAGGTCTAAATGTGTGTGTGCTTTCAAGTCAGTTTTTGGCTCCTGGTGCCTGCAGAATTTCTTGGCAAAATTTCAGAAATGGTGTGCCATTGACTTCTTCCTAAAGCCAAGTTAGAGAGATTGGCTCTAGGTCTCTCAGTTGACTTTGTGCTTAAGTCAAGACTAGAACTCATATTATCCTGATTTCTAATCTGATGCCTTAACCACTATACCAATCTGACTCTTAAAGCTTTAAACAGATTAATGTAACTAAATATTTTGAGTTGGGCTGCAAAAATCCAGATAACCACCAGATAGGAAGCTCACTGAATGATTTCAGAGCCATAACTTACCCATGCCAACCTGATTCACAAAGTTATTGTGGCAAAAAACTAGGTCTTGTGCTATATTCTTAGATATAATATGCTAGATATAAGCACATTATATATAAGCATTAAGCAGGTGGAAGAACTGCATAAATAGGAAGCAATATTAATAATGCCTCATTCCTTACACTAGAAAGAATCTACCATCCTTACATCCCAAAGAATCTAATATAACATTTCTCAAGGGCATTGGGAAACTGAAATTGTAACCCTGTCTTACAATGCTCCAGGGAAGTATTATTTAAGGTTGTTGTGTGACATTTTAAATGATGGCTTATACTTGCTGGTCTCCAGCAAAGAACCCCAGGCTGCCAGAAATTATAAGGTGCTAAAGCTAGGTTTACTTATTAGGACATAAATGCTCTACAATATTTCATTTTTTTTCTTGAAGAATGGTAGCAATGAGAAAAATTGTTGCATCACAAACATAAATGAAAAGACTTAGCCATTTATCCAGAATAAACATGTAGTTATTACCTCTGTATGATAAAATGAGAATTGGTATCTGTGCCTACGTATGAAAATACACTATTATTAATGTAACATCTTTGAAAATATTGAATATCTCTTCTGCAGTAATATAGGTTGTTTCAGAAGATATATTTACTCTACTTCTCTCAAGCATATTAAATTCATGTTAAACATAGGCTGAGTGAGAAATGCCTTTCAAAAAAACCCTCTTTGCTTCATTTGCTTTGAGAAAGTCCCATTTTTATACACACAGAAACACACCAACACACATAGTGGTGTTATTACACATTTAAAATCCAGCTATCATATAGTCTTCAGGAGGAGGAGTGCAATGGCCTAGAGATGAAGACACTTGCCTCCCATTCAGAAGGTTGAGAGTTCAATCCTAGGCAGCAATTGATGTTTCTCTATCAGGGCACAAAGAGAAAATACTTGCTGCAAACTCCACATAGGCATCAGGAAGGGCATCCGGCCAGTAAATGCTCAGTTCCATTCATTTGCCTCAATTTCACCCTGATAAAAGGGGGAAAATACAGTCTTTGAGAGAGCTGGCTTTACCTCCAACTTATAGGCAACAAAGGAAAAATAAATAGCAATGTGAAATCTGGTTGGAATGTGTTTTCCATAAACTGGATACTAGAAGAAATTAAGAGAGAGCTGAAATATGTTTAGATGGAAACAGCTGATAAAGTAAGGCTGCACAATGGGTGGGAATGTGGTAAGGTATGTACAGAAAACAACATTTCCAGAATCTGGTATATATTGTATCTTCTATTTATGAACTTCTATTTATGAAATAGCATATTAGAAATGTAAACAAGCAATTTTAAAGAGGGGAATTGGGTAGCATCCAAATAATCCATGACAAGTATTATACTTGTGTGCATGGGCATGCATGATCCCCCTTGAGTTATCAGCCTCAGAAATCACTATGAGTTTCACAGAAGCTTGGCCTTCTCCAGCAACTTAAAACGCAAAACCAAAATCCCTAAGGTGAAGAAAATTGAAACTTATTTTTTTTTCTGGATCATATTTTCTGCAGCTGATGTTAACAGTCATGAAAGGGTAGCAAATCATCAGTGTAACTCAGTATGTGTTTTTTTATCCAAGTAATATTTCAGTAGTTCAACTAAATCTGTAGACATAAAAATAAGGTTTATATGTTCTCTGAATTTTCCTCACAACTTTCCAAAAAAGGGGGGCCTCTTTTTTTTCTTTTGGCATTGGAGCATGGCTGCTAAAATTATCCAGTGGGAAGAATTTCTTCAAGATACCAGTAGCTATGATGGCACCTGTAAAAATGTTGGATTTCAAATGTAGGGTCCTAATTGCCAGGATATCTTCCCTTTGGGCTTAATGGAATTGTTGAACAGTACTGGGATATACAGTAGATTTAAAGGGGAAAAATGTGTGGGTTTCATGTGGGCAAAGCACCTTAAAGAAGTTGCACGTTTTTCTAGGATGTTGCAGCTGTTGTTGATTTAAGGTGGTACAATCAAGTTATCCAACAGATATTCTACTCAAAAGTAGCTTCTCCTCTTTCAGTCTGAACTGCTGCATGGCCTTGTCGAATTGTAGGAATTCAGGAAGGCTACAGATCATTGGAGAAATGATACTAGAAGAAAAGGACATTCAAGTCTATTTTTCCAGTTGTAATTCTAGTTATCGGTGATAAGGAAAAGCAAGGAGACCTTGCTTCTCTTATGAAGAGTGTTAGTAAATTTTGATGTTTCTAAGTTGGAAATCTTGGAGGTAACTTCCTCTGTGTTGATATAAGTGGCTGCTCTGATTTGTGTGAGAACACAAGTTTCTACTATAGGCCTATTTCTGGTTCTAAGATAAGGGATTCTGATAATTGCTCCTATTCCTACTTACCTGTACACCAACATGAAATGACTGGATGGTTCAGTTTGATCTGAGGAAGTAGTTTTCTGATAAACATACTGAAAAGCTATGTGATTCTAAAGAATAGTGATCCTATGCTCCTTGTTGTTGTTAGTTGCGAAGTCATGTCTGACCCATCGTGACCCCATGGAAAATATTCCTCCAGGCCTTCCTGTCCTCTACCATCTTCTGGAGTCCATTTAAGCTCACTCCTACTGCTTCAGTGACTCCATCCAGCCACCTCATTCTCTGTCATCCCATTCTTCTATTGCCCTCAATCTTTCCTAGCTTTAGGCTCTTCTCCAGTGAGTCCTTCCTTCTCATTAGGTGGCCAAAGTATTTGAGTATCCTATGCTCCTACAGTAATTCAAACAGATCCCAACACTAAATAGGAAGAAAGTATATCTGTATAAAGATGCTAAAATTATCAGCTGGAGAACTGACAGCCCAGGTTTAAGACTCAAGATCCATGCAACAGTATGAGCTCCCATTACTTGTCCCAGCTTCTGCCCACCTAGCAGTTTGAAACATGCAAATGCAGGTAGATTAATAGGTACTACTTCGGTGGGAAGATAACAGTATTTCACGCACCTTTGGCATATAGCGATGCTGGCTACATGACCATGGAAATTGTCTTCAGATAATTCTGGCTCCCTCAAACAAGAAACAGAGATGTACTCTAGTGTTGGACACAATTGACAGGGAAAGCTTTGCCTTTTTTATATCTATTTAATATCTAGCATATGTATTACACTTTATTTTGCTCTCAGAATATAATTTTTACCCTTGATACAATTATTAGGATTGCTTGCAGTGATCTGAACCCTTGATCCTTGCATCTAATCAAGTTTTTCTTATTTTCAGAAGAAGGATTGTTTGCTTACTATAGAAGAATGGACGCTTAAGGTGTCAAATTTAGCAGAAATGGCTAAGATTTCTGCTTATCTGAAGGATCACTCACAAGAAAGATACATTTCAGTCTGGAGAAGATGGATAGATTATATTCAGAATAAATATGGGACTAAAAAGTTCCATCTAGTTTATGAGTAAATCTTAGAGTATTATTATTATTATTATTATTATTATTAATAGTTTATTATAGTAAAATTTTTATTAGTTTTATTATTATTTTTAGTATTAGTGTTGTTTAAAAATTTGGATATTGTATTATTTAATAAGTAGGATATTAACTTGTTTATATTATTATGTTTACTTTTAATTTGTTTATATTTATATTAAAGGGGAGTTAAAGCGCATTATGGACTTGGTTATTTACATAGTTGGTTAATGTTAGTTAGAGTATGATTATTATATTTGTAACCCTGTACTCAGCTCTGGGAAGTGGGGGAGGGGAGGTTTAGGGTGGGTGGGCTTTGGGGTGTATATTGTAACTTTTATAAAACTTTTCAATTAAAAAAAGATTTTCCTATTTTCATCATTTTAACCATAAAATTTTACATTTTACATTTAGGACCCTTTACGTTTCTTCCCTTGAACCACTAAGAATATGTCATGAACAATTCTCATCCTCTAAAAAAACCTTCCAACTTTGTTCTATTCATATTCAAAATCAGTTGCTGGAAATACCCATCTAATAAGGCTTTAAATTCATTTTTTTAAAAAAATAACTGAGCACAAAACATTTTTCTCCTTTCAATGTGCTGCTAGAGCGGGGTAGGCCAGCTATATTTACCCTTTCTCTAATATTACATTTAGTGCCAGGCAGAAAAATTCTCAAGCATTTTTTTCCTTACATTTCTCACTTATTTTGGTAAATGACCATTTGATTTTGAAATGTGTCCCAAAGGAGAAAAATGTTGCAGAGAAATTATCATGGGTAGAGTGTGGCACTCCTATACTTACAATCTTCTTTCCTGTGATCTACAGCTTTCCTGTTTTCCCACACTTCAATTAAATCCCAAGGAAAGATATAATACATGAGGAGGAGGAGGAGGAGGAAACTCTAGCCCAGTAGGAAAGAGAAGATTAAGGAAATATAATTTAAAACTTTAAAGATAAAAACTAATAGCATATAAAAGTCAATAGGAATGTAGTATAACTGCAAAACAATACTATCATATTACATTATATTGCATTATATTATATTATTATAACATTGAAATTATATGCCATAAAGAGCCAGCTGTGCAAAAATCCAGATAGCTATGGTTGCACCAGTTAAAGCATTGCGTTTATTTCAAAATGATCTCTTGTACAACACTTTTCACTTATCTAATCTGAATATGAACAAAGCATGAGTAGTCAAGACAAGATCCATCATCAACAGTTGGTGTAGTGATGCTTATAAAGGGCATCCATGGCCACCATTGCTTATGACTGCACTGGGCATTTCCAAATAGGGAAGCTGGTAATGTAGTATTTCTAAATCTAAAACTGGTTGAACATCCCCATTATAGATTGATTTTATTCCCTGTTAGATGAATAAATGATATCCATGAACAGATTCATTTTAAGATAGTCACAGTACCATGTTTTCATAGCTGCCACACCCACACCTTTTGAGAGGAACAAAAATATGGATAATAAAGAGAAGTTTTTCCCTGCCAACTTTTTATGTAAGTGAAAAACCAAATTACAATAAATCCGAAGACTCAACATCATCAAAAACTATATCAATTTAAGAAGCTAATAGCTTCTCCAACTTTGACCCCAAATAATAATAGGTTGAGTCATGGTACAAACTTCAGGATTTAAAAGTGGTTTTGTTGCCTTTTTTCAAGCAAAGAAATAAGCATTGCTTAACTCAATGAAATGTTAATTAGGACTGATGTTTAAAGAATAAGTCTGGTTATGGCACCTGTTAGTAAATAGGACATGCAGAAATTTGGTAGTAGATCTCAATCTTCCAAGCAACTCTGAAGCCACTTGTCCATGTCTGCAGATAGCACAAGTAGAAATGGATTTAAAATAGCTTAATAAGACTGCATATTACCATATCTATCTTTGACTGTGCCAAATTGTGGTGTAGAAATGTGAGTAGTTTTATTTGAAAAGTGCAATGTAGATTGGTCATAGCTGTCCTAGAGATTGCTTTTAACTGAACCCCAAAGTTATCTTCAAAAAATTCTGATGGTCAGACTCTATAGGGAAGAGAAATAATTACCCCAGTATAACCTAGTTCCTGAAAATTGTAGAAAATTAAATAACAGCTAGTCCAACCTATTGGACCATTCTTGCTTAACTCCTACCTGCTGTGATCTTCAAGGAAATATTAGGACCTATTAACAGAAAAACCCCAGTGAGCTCCTTGTTCCATATTTAGTGAGAGATGTAAAGAATTTATGACTCAAGTCTAATCCAATTAAACCACATTGTTCCTATTAGATGTTCAGCTAAAAGTAGCAACATAAGCACATTGATCAAATATAATAAAAGATACAGTTCAATACCTCTGCCAAAGAAGGAACATTGTAAGTTACTGTTTTCTTGCAGGATGTGTTGTAATAGTATTTTTTTTTCTTGTGTAAATTCCTGCCCCATTATCACATTCTGTCAAGGTAAATGGTAATATGAAAACTTTTAAAAATTAAGGATAGCTTTCACTTGATAGTCTGCTTAATATCTCTAAGGTAATGCCAGAGTACTTTGTTAGAAAAAGTGTACTTTTTTAAACATCACAGAATAACCAATAAATATTGCCATTCCATCTATCGTCCTCTCAACTTTAATGGCTCAATTATGGCTGCAATTCTTCTTAAAGATTTGAGAAATATGCAGTTTTGCAAAGGAATGAGACAAATTCAAGGTGATTCCAAAGAACTTTTTTTTCAAGAACATTTGTAGATTTCTTGAACAAAGTCACATAGGTTAAGCTTATTTCAAAGTTATGGAAAGAAAAAAGAAAACCTCATCCCTACTTTTCTGTGCTAGAATATTTTAACACTGGAATTTATCTTCTAGGTGGAAATCACTTAAGTACAATAATGGTTCTGCTGTTATCATACAAGCTAAACACGATGTATAACTTTTGTTTCTCAGTGGACAATTCTTTCTTCCTTTTATAATGACTAAAATTACCCTAGGAATTGCCCAAAGTTGAGTCTATAATAAATACAATAACAGTTCCAGTAGAAAAAAATTACTAGTAACATTGCCAACCCCAAAAATAATATGTACATATATACATAATAATATCCTATTACATGAACTCAACCCTTCCCAAGTTTCATTAAATTTTAGAAAGCATGAAGGAACTGGCAGAGCCCTGTGGTATCTCATATTGAATAATTATGGGATTGGTAGTTCCTTTCCAGAAATACTGACTGGAAATGTGCTCATCTCCATCATAAAAACATTTCTCTAGTCTTCAACTCTTGAAGATAATCCAGAAGGATAGTGTGGTCTATGGTATTAAATGTCACCTAGAGGTTGGGATACAGTTTCCACAACTAGGTCCTAATAAGATGATTCACAAAGTCATCAATGCCATTTCAGCCCCATGGTCCAACATTTTTTTTTTTTAACCAAAAGGATCTGGATAGTTTGCTTCATCTAGGAATCCTTTGTCTCTCTCCTCTTCCCCTGCTTCTAAATCTGTTATGCTGCCAGGTAGGGAGAGGGGAAAAGTTCCTGGGAAGGATGAGTGAAAATACTAGAAATGTTTGCAAAGAGTCTATACTTCCAGCAGGTTACTCATGGTGGTGAAGAAGATTGTTGAGAATACTATGGAGAACCAAGAAAACAAGTAAAGGTATCATAGAACAAATCAATTCAGAATTCTCATTTAAGATATAAATCACCAAGCTCAGATTATTATGATTTGCACACATTATACAAAGCCCCATCTTCCTTGAGAAGTTTATAATGTCCAGTAGCAAGATGGACAGACTGTTTACTATGGAGATGGTTAGACTATTGTAAAACTTGAAAGGCCAGTTTTGGGACAAATCATCCTGAAAAAAGATCAAACTGTGTTGGCTAAGAGCAGACTGACTTAATGGCATATCCTCTTCCAATCTTTTAATTGATCACCCATTATCTTGTTTACTATTTTTCCTGGAAAAGAGAAGATTGGAAAAATTTATTTAATATGGCTGGATCAACAGTCTCTTTAAAACATATTCTCTTTAAAATCACCTCTTTCAAATCTACTGGCATCCCTTCCTTCTAAGTCCAGACTAACTGTATCTATATTCATTTGAATCCAGGTGTACATGACTCACCTCCTCTGGCTGCACAAAGGACTAGGTTTAAACATTAGTCTATATCAAGCCCCAAAGAACCAAGGACAACATGCTGAGTTACATCCGAGTAGCTTATTGTTGTTCAAATATAGACAGAATCTTGCCGCATAACTATAGATATAGTCTGAGAACTGCTAGGGAGAAGCTGTCTTAACCCTCTTCCTTCCTATCAGATTTTCCAAGCTTTTCAGCTCCTCCCTCCTGGGACTTCAGACTAGTTTCCACTACAGTCCACCTCACCAGAGGGGGACCTAATACTAGATAGATTCTTTCTACTTCATCTGGTTCGTCAAGCTCAAATGAATGCAAGATTATTTTACAACACATAATCTTTGTCATTTACCTGACTCAGCCAATTGCCTAGATATTCTGTGAACTTTGAATTATATTCAAGTAATTTTGCAAGTTGGCAAATATACTTTTTCAATGAGAGCTTAGTGTTATTAGGCTGTTATGAGTCATCTCTGGCATTTTGAGTATGCCACGCATAAGAACAAACATCTTCTGGCTACTAGATATGCTGGACAATACTTCAGAATGATGTGAAATAAAGCAATGTGGCCAAGCTACATTGTCCTTCAGAAGGAGAGGGACTATGCTGATTTCCAAATAGAACAGTCCTTCAAAGTGTTGCTCAGTTCTAAAAAACCCCAAAACCTAAGTGCCAATGTACATTTCTGTAGAAGTCAATCCATGACAAGCTTATTTTAATATACAGTTGCATACAAAAACCAAATTGTGTGTTTCCCTGAGCCCTAGGCAAACAATAGCTGATATAACTCTGTAGGGTACAAACCATAAATGACATCTTTTTGGAAACATAAGTGCATTCTTAATATTTATGTGCAGTGGTTATCATCCCAAATTTAATGTTCACTGACCTTAGCCTTTCGCTGAATTATGGACTAAATAACAATTTGAACTAAATCTGGGAAAAGAGAAAATGTTCAAAAAAGTTTGGATAAAGGTAGCAACATTTTTGCAGATATGGTTTCGAGATTACTCAGCCTTCAAAAATAGCTATGGTGATATTAATGGGAACAGGAAATGATATTGCTTTTCTGTCTTCCCACAGCCTGCTTATCATCAAAAGGCAAGTCTTAGCCAGTTTATCTTTTTCAGCTTTATATCCTGTTCTGAAAGGTACAAAGCAGCCAGTGAAATACCACGCATGTACCCCCACATGTTGCTTTAGATGAGTTAAAACTTATGCTTGTTGCTGAGACGTTTCCCCAATAGAATCACAGCAATCTTATTTTTGGCTCTGAGGAAGCAAACTGTAACACCACAGAGGGGTTTTTTTTTAAGAAATAAATCTCCAAGGAGTCAAGAGTGTGGTGTATTGATATAATTAGAATGTCTCGTTCCCTGTCACACCTAACAAAAGTAAACGGTTTTTTAAAAAATCTCAGAGATATATCAGGTATATTATTAATGGTACCTCATGAAATCTTGGTTCCAGTCCAACTTAGATCTCTTCTGGGCTAAATCTTACTTACATTAATGGGTCTTGTTTCTAAGTAACCAGACTTGGCATTAGCCTGCCAATCAATTTTATAAGCTCTCAGAAATTATAACTCATTTAGAAGGGGAATGCATACTATCTATCTCAGCCTTGTGGCCTTGACAGAGAGAAGTAGGGTATTGCTTCAGTTCAATCTGAAGGAACTCTATGATCAAAGCAATGGAGAAAGAAAATGTTCCTTCAAAATCTATATCCTACTGGATCCTATCAGAAAATGACTGTCCTTGTAGATATCTTAATTTTATATTCCAGTACCAATGAAGCTCAGAAACAGATATATATCCAAGTTCAAAGCAGAAATAGTGTTACATGTGCTTCCAGGTGTGACTTATGGTCACTCACTCAGACATCTACAGCCCTTAAAAATAGCCACACTCTAATCACTTTCAACTGAACACTGAGGTACAACTGATTCTTTAGAACAGGGGTGTCAAACTGCCAGCCCACGGGCCAGTTTCATCATACCGGAGCCGCGCCCACCCCATTGCCGGCAATGGCAAAAAAGCTCCGATACGTTGCGTGACATCCTGTGATGTCACAAGTTTAAATGTCTGCTTTAGAATATACAAACACACAGTGAATGTAACATAGCAGCAAGACTGTAGTTGTTCCAATATATATTTGTTCTTTCTCTCTCACACACACACATTCATGCACACGTACCCAGAGCCATCTGGCATCAGTCAGAGGGACAGAAGCTGTGTAAAAGTCTGGATTCAAAGACAACTCAAAAAGTGGGTGAGCTTCTGGACCCCTTTCATCCCCTAAAGTCCTTGCTTGCTTTGTTTTGTTGATTGACAAGCCTGGTAGCAACTCTTACCTTATTGATTTACAGTTCTGGTAGTTGATCAGATTGGGAAGAGGGTTTCCATATGCTCATACCCAACTTCCTTTGTCTGGTTCAGGTGGTTCATTTTTTTTCTTTAGAATAGAATAGAATAAAATAGAGCTGGAAGGGACCTTGGAGGTCTTCTAGTCCAGCCCCCTATACCATCTCAGACAGGTGATTTCCAGTCTCTTCTTAAAAATCTCCAGTGATGGAGTACCCACAATTTCTGGAGGCAAGCTGTTCCACTGGTTGATTGTCCTCACTGCCAGGAAGTTTCTCCTTAATTCCAGGTTGCTTCTCTCTTTGATCAGTTTCCAACCATTGTTTCTCATCCTTCCCTCTGGTGCTAGGGTGAACAATGTGATCCCCTCTTCCTTGTGGCAGCCCCTCAGATGTTGGAATACTGCTATCATGTCTCTCCTATTTCTTCTTTTCTTTAGACTAGCCAAACCCAAGTCCTGCAGCCGTTCTTTGTATGTTTTAGTCTCCAGGCCTTTGATCATCTTAGTTGCTCTTTACTACCTTAACAACTTAGTTCCTTCTTATTTACCTCCCCTGAGGGATCTTTTACAAAAGATTCCTGGTTTTTGTCCACTCTGCTTATGTGCCTGCTTCATCTTTAGATATAGTAGCTTCAGCCTAGTCTCACAGTTGGACCTAAACCCCAACATCCAAATAGCACATCTGCAACTACAAAGCAAAATAAAAAGCAATTTTTCTGAAGTAAAATTAATGATACTTTCCTTTGTTCTCTCTCATACACACTTAACCATATTATAATGGAAGAGGTTACTGAGTTACTTGGCAATAAATTCATAGAGTTTCTGGAGGAATATTTAAACTAAAAGGGGACAGTGAGTTAATTGATACAGAACATCCCTATCCCTGGCAACCAAAAAATTATAGGGTTATCAGTGCATGTAACATAGATGTGTGTGTGGACAAGAATATCAACCTTGCTGTCAAGCAAAATCAAGCTTTTAATAGAGAGTGCCACACAAAGTGCACTAACCAAACAGGTGGTAATAAAATAGGGGAACTCAGGCACCACAGAGATTATGTAGGAAGTAAACACAGGGTCAGTCATAAAGGACTGAAATGTCTATATACCAAGGTACAGAGTATGAACAGTAAATAGGGTGAACTAGAAATTCAGGTTAATGAGGGCAGATATGATATTGTTGCCATTACAGAAACATGGTGGAATGAAATCCACAAATGGAACACACAGCTAGAGGGATTTAAATTATTTAAAAGAAACAGAC